TCTAGGCATGGAAAACCAGTCTTAGACCCCATTCCCATATATTTTAGATCGATCTATCCCTGTGTGGAGTCTCACAAGATTACTGTCTGCTTAGCCGTCTTAAGCGTCTGTCCCGCCTACTAAAAGCTATAAGGGGGTAATTAACTATGGTGCGCGCTCGACTGACTGCAATTTAGCGTGAACCCCCAGGGAGTTAGGTAGATCTAAATCTAAATCTCTGGATCGATCTAAATCTCTAGTCTGACCTAAGTGGTGTTAAGGTCCACTAAGTGCATGTCATGAACTCACTCATTTACATACAGTATTATGTTTATATAATCAGTCAGCATATTATTATTCACCTTGCTTCAGTCTTGATTAAATATTTATCATCCGCTGTATAGGTATACCTGATAGGCATCTGACGTGAGTTATGAGCTAGCTTACGGTATAGCAAATATTTTCAGCTTGTATTCAAATCATCATTTATAATCTTAATACCAAACTCATGACTATCTTTGCTGATTTACGTGATATTCATCTTGTTTATTTCAGGTACATTTTGGTATTGTTGTTTGTATTCCGACCCGTATGTATATCAGGTGAGAATGAGTTGAAACCCAATCAGAACCACATACCGGTAAATATATATGGAAGATTATTCATTTTTTTATTTGAGTAAAACTATTCACCTAACGCTTAACTTCAGCTTCTATCACACGAGGAAGTGAATTAATATACCGTGTCCTTTATTATTATATTTTGCTCAATTAGGTTCTTATACCGTGGTATGTACACATTTACAATAACATTTATAATATGCGTTTTAATAAATCCTTCGCCTAATGTCACTTAATGTTTAAGCCAACGCTACAAGGTCACCATGTAGAAATGTGTCATCTATAGAGAAAATGTAAAATTTGCTACCATATATGATAACTCTTTTTGTATAGGTGGTAGATTTTAAAAAGTGCCCTTTTGATCGAAAAAAGCTCGGTTTTGAATCACATTTTAAAATGTCTCTTACAACTACAGTAATTGTCGTCAAGAAAGACATTTGACAATAGGAGTTGGATGCAAAACTTATCGGTGGATCTGAAGCACAGAACTATGAGAAGCATTTTAATCAAAGTAAGCCACTGTTCTTTGTGGTCTAAATTCGATCTCGGCTCTGTGTCTTTCCCAAGTTGGACCGACAAAGGGGGCAAAATGTCTGTTTTCTTTTGGAAAAGGGCACTCGCTCCCCTTTGATATTGCTGGCGACAGGAAAGGGATGGTGAGCATAGAGTGATTTCACTAATAATAAAATAAACCATTGGCTGATGAGCAACTCAATTATCAAAACAACAGGGCACTGAATTTGTTACACGCACGTTTCGTCAAAGGAAAAGTGACGAAAAGACCATAATGTACTGTAGTTGCTATGGAGGGCATGATTGGATCGGCTTTACTTTTGAGAAGGGGTGGTGTTTACTGTGTCCAGCGTTCCTTTTAAGTCACTCTGCTTTTTAAATTTTGAAACAAGGAGGGCTTTTATTCTAGACTGTGTTTACTAACATATCAACAGAAGAGCTAGGGGAAGCTAGAGGATATATACGGATGCAACTTTACTAGAAAGGCATTGTCCGGTAAACTAACATTCATTTTTAACAATGAATTTCAGCTGGTCTATCTTTGTATATTAATAGTTATTTCTTTACAAGTGCCTATTTCTACTGCTGAGAAAATATCACTTGTTATATATCACCATAACCACTGTGACGTACAGATAAGTGTTCTACGTTTCCATACCTTCACTCCAGCTTGCCCAGACGGCTGGACATTATATGGACCAAATGGTTACTGCTACTTTTTCTCCCTCTTGGATATACCCTTCGCGGAGGCAGAGGCATTTTGTGCCACGTTCCTTACGGGACATCTAGCGAGTGTTCACAGTGCAGAAGAAAACACCTTCCTTGGAGGTTTTCAAGAATCGTGAGTTGATATAATGGTCATATATTCTATGTTCAAGTTCGATACACTCAAACGAGCAAAGAAAAATTATCATGTAAATGTATTAGGGGATGAAGCGCTCCCTTCATGTACTTTATTTCTAAATTTTAGTTTGCGTATACTGGTTAAAACAGTCACAACATCAACGATTCTATGGGTGAAGCCACTTTTCCGTCTATAGATTAATTGGCACATCTATCAGGTTTAGCTAGAAACAAACTTTGATCCACTGAATTAGTCGAAAAAAGGAATAGTTTAAAGGTACGTACAAACTGAGCATCGGTGGATTCCCAGTAACACATGTAAACCACTTCTACTAGTTTCTTATACGACTCAAATAAATTCGACATGCCAAGGGATGAAATGAATAGATCACTCGGTCAGCCATAAAAGAGCTTTAGAGACCATTCACACAGATTTTGGATGGATCTATCTCCATGGGGAGTCTCACTAAATTGCGATCAACTTAACCGGCTTAAATGTTTGTCACGCCTAGTAAAGCTGTTAGGGGGTAATTATCTTTACTCTAGCTGATTCGGAAGGCGTGACAGACATTTAAGCCTATTGAGCTGATAGCTATTTAGCGTGAACCCCCAGGGAGTTAGGTTGATCCAGGTGGATCATAAGTATGGGAACCCAGTCTTAGACTGCACCTTTCTTTAAATTTTTGGTCGGAAATTTAACTTACTTTTGTGACCTACTTTTTTGTCCCATTGACATACAGCATAGAATGCTAGCAGAAAAATGCGTTCAAACATCATTTTCGGGTAAAATTAAACAATGTCTTGTGGTAATTGTCTTAGTTATACTACTTGAAACTATATGCTAGCATTTGATCAGTTTTTGATTTTTTGATTTTAGGCTGAGGAAAGGCTTGAATGTCTCAGAATACAAAATACCGATTAGAACCTTTAAAACTATTATCGTAACTGTAATGCTATTAAAATCCGCAGGGGAGAATCCTACACGTCGCGTATGTAACCATTCTTGAGCGCTATTCCTTCATTCAAGATATGACTCCGTCTTGTTTTACACGCTGTTATCCTTTAGGACAATCAACCAACTGTTAAGTCAAACTAAAGTTTGTATAGCAACTCCTACGTAAGGCCCAGATTCACTGTACAGTGACGTGGTGACAACTACTCACGGTAGGATGGCTGATAGTGATAGAATATGTCAACAAGGTGATTGCAACTGCACAAGTGCATCAGGCGGATGTAAGTGACAGTGAATGTGAATCTGGAGATACCTTTTTCAGCCCAATTGCAATACCGAGAAAAAGACATAGGTCGGGAATGAATAAACTCAGTAATTTGTCATCCCCTAAAAGGCAGAAAGGGGAGGACGATTCATATATAGATAACAAAACAAAGTTTGCAATGTTGACACAAATGAGTGACTCGATGAGGAGAGGTTATCTCAAGTGTTGAAACAAGAAATAGACACGATAAGGACCGAGTTCCAGGACCAAATTGACACTCCGACACTGAGGGTGAGTGAACTAGAATCTGCTGAAAAACCAAATAATAAAAGAACTGAGAAAATTACCGACTCAATAGTGATCAAGAATCTGGAGACATTAGCAATGAAAATATTGATTCGAAAGTAATAGGCCTAATTAAGGATGGACTACGATTACCAGATATCAGGTTTGTTTCTGTAGTGCGTAAACCCAGGCGTAGAGAGGATCTACCTGGTTTAGTAATATCCAAGTGTGCAAAACCAGAAGACAGAAAGGAAATCCTCAAAGCCAAAAAAAATGCTAAAAAAACTCAAGGAACTTCAAAAATGTGTCCATAGAAGAATTCACAACTGCAGAGCAACGTAGAACAAGTAACAATATCCGTGCAATTGTGAACCATATTAATTCAGGGAAAGGGAAACTCCACATTAGAGGGACCTCCAGGTTGACCACAATGATAGTAGGACAGGCAGGCAGAGTGATAATGATGGCAGGACAGGCAGGCAGAGTGAAAACGATAGCAGTAAGGGCAGGCTGAGCGACAATGATAACAGGGCAGGCAGGAAGAAGAGTAACAACGGAAGACAAACAAGGAAATAGGTCCGCGCAGGCTTTTGGAACATTAGTGGTTGGACTTCCAATCAGGATAAACATTCAATTCTGTCATCCATAATAATAGAACAGGAGTTGGAAATTATAGGATTAGCGGAGACACATCTGTGCTCCAGTTACTGTGGCAAGATTGATATCAACAGCTACATTTGGTTTGGCCACAATAGACTAATGCACAACAGGGCTAGGTCTGGCTCTGGAGGGGTAGGATTTTTAATTACTAAGAAACTCATAAACGATTTTAATGTTACTGTACTAGATGACTCTTCTGGTGGCATCCTTTGGATACAACTGAGAAACTTTAGAGTTATAGACAGGGTGAACTGGATACACCAGATATGAGTGCCAGTCTTAACACTGATATTACGTTAAAAGAAGTTGAGCTTGCAGTTAATGGTGCTAAGTGTGGTAAAAGCCCCGGCCTTGATGACCTGCTTTCGAAGGTTTTAAAGAACAATACGACTATTATATTTTTGTATAACCTATTTTAGTACTGTTTTGCTAATTCTGTTGACCCTAGCGATTGGCTTAGGTCCGTCATTAATCCCATACCTAAAGGTAATGGTGTTAATTTATGCGATCCATTAGAATAAAGAGGAATAACATTATCATCTAGCATATATAACATATACACATCTATTCTGAACAGGAGATTATCGAAGTGGGCCGAAGATAATGAAATAATAGTTGACGAGCAAAATGGTTTTGGACAAGACCGTGGGTGTTTAGATCACATGTATGTAATGTCTAGTATTATAGAAAATAGTTTAAAGCAAAAGCAGAGCAAATATGCGTGTTACATCGATCCAAGAAAAGCATTCGACAGAATTAATAGGTCTCTTTTATGGTATAAATTATTTAAACTAGTAATATGCGAAAATTTTATGAATTCCCTCCAGGCTCTATATGATAACCCAAAGTGCTGTGAGGGCAAATAACTATACAACAGCTTTCTTTGACATTGAAACTGGAGTAAAATAGGTGTGCATGCTGTCACCTTTACTCTTCGACATTTATATTCATGATATGGTACATAATCTTAAAGCTCTGGGTGAGGGCATTAATGTCAATGATGAGCTGATTTGTTTGCTCCTTTATGCAGATGACGTTGTGCTTTTGGCCAAGAATGAGGAGGATTTACAGTCAATGCTTGATGTAGTGCACAAGTGGTGTTATAAATGGCAGTTGACTCTGAATGAGGACAAGACCCAAAAAGTTAATTTTAGGTCACCTAAAATACCTAGGACAAATTATGTTTTTAAATCTGGCAATTTTACAGTAAATATTGTTGAAAAATATAAATACTTGGATATGTGGTATTTTGAGCACTTTGATGCGAATAAGACGGTATCATGTATAGCTAAGTCTGCAAGTAGAGCTATAGGTCTTCTGGTTTTCAAAATGCAAGGCTTGTGGAAGCATGCCCTATGCATGCTTAACGAAATTATACGATGCACTTGTAGCTCCTGTGTTAGAATATAGTTCTGCTATATGGGGACTCCAGGAATTTAGTCAGATTAATGCTGTTTTCAATAGAGCTTGCAGGTATTTTTGGGCGTGGGTACACCCCAGCCGCTGCCACCCGTTCTGAAATGGGATGGACTTCACCTTTTGAAAAACAGTTAATTAATGTGACAAATTTTTGGTGTAGATTAGTTAATATGGATTGTAATAGATTAACTAAAAAGGTGTTTTTATGGAGTTTACTTGTATCAAACAATGGAAAGAAAATTTGGATAACTAGGGTTAAAAGTAAATTTAGCGATATGGGAGTAAGCCACCTGTACTTAACTGACAATGATATACTTAAGGCTAGTACACTTAATTGTGTTAGGGAGAGTGTAGCTTTTGGTTGTCACTCCGATTGGTGGGCGAACCTATGGGATGATACCCCACGTAGAAATGGAGGTGGAAATAAGCTTAAGCCATTCAGATTGTTTAAGCAAGACTTGGTAGTTAGTGAATACGTTAAGAAACCAACTTTATCGCTCAAGTATCGGCGGACATTGGCTAAAATGAGATGGGGGGTGGCCCCACTCAGAATAGAAACTGGACGGTATGAAAAACTTCCAATCCTGGAGAGAACGTGTGTACTCTGTGAATCAGGTTGTGTTGAGGATGAGATTCATTTTTTAATTAATTGTCCATTTTTTAATGATCATCGTACTGATTTAATTAGAACTGCTAAATGTTTTAAGCCGGATTTTGATTTATTGGATGAACAAAGCAATTTTTGTCCCACTGAGAATAAAAATGGAGTCATTTGGCTCTCTAGTCAGAATCCAGCACCCCTTGACCCTCATGGAGTTAATTTGACTCCTATATAATGGTCAAATTACCCCACTACCAGAGTCTTTAGACTCTCTTATCAGAGTCAATCACCCCCTGGCTCTCATGGAGTCAATCTGACTCTAAAATCAGAGTCAGACGGCGTGGAGAGAACAGTTTTCATCATCCTTTGTCAGTATAAACATGACTTTATTGGCCATAGTTGGTTTTATGCATGAACAAGTAGTTTTCTGTGTGTTTCTGCATACAGAACTCGTGCACTTATCACTGGCCCGGGCTTTCAGTTGCCCACACCCTTTAAGGCTTTATGTGATATGTTGGTATACAGGTCAGCGGGTTTTGTTTCCAGGTTGTAGGTTTGACCCGCCAATGCATGTCACTGGGGAGGTATGCCCACTCATTGATATGTGTGTGTGTGTGTGTGTGTGTGTGTGTCATGCTGTTTATTACCAGATTTACAAAGTGTTTGTTATTATTATTTAGCATTACGTGCGACCGGATGGCTTCGTGGTTAGAGTGTGCGCCTCCGGAGCGGGAGGTCGTAGGTACGAGCCCTGCCAGGGACGTACCGGTCTATTATAAATGGTACCTGCTGTCTCCCCGCTTGGCACTATAATTGCTTTTTTTTCCATAATGAGCCAAGGAGTCAAATAGTCCCTAATATGGGGTCATGATGACTCTTTTATAGAGATAAATCAAGGGATGAAGGGATGTGTGAATGGAGTCAATTGTGACCCTTCTGTGGGGTCTGGGATGGCGTTACTCCATCGGAGTCAGCTTGACTCCAATTGGGAGTTATTTTAGGCACCACTGATGGACTCCAAGTTTGGAGTCACTTGGACTCCGATTTTATTCTCAGTGCCTGATTGACGATCCAAAAATGATTTTTAGCACTGCCAAAGCCTGTAGCCTTTTCTTAGGATTATAAGAAGAAATTTTATGTATTTTATGTATTTAAACTGTAATTAGTTTTTAGTCTCTCATAGTTCTCTGCTAGCATGATACAAGTACAAGTACACAAAAGAGCCTTCGAATGACCCTAAAATTTGCTGCACCTTATCACCTTCCATATTTAAGAACTACTCTACTAACTTATCTCAAAATTATATTTTATGAAGTGAAAAGAAAATGAATAAATATTTTGTTGATACAAGTTTTAACATAATTTACGGGATAATAACTCTTCGTTTTGGCCAAAAAATGAATTTTCCTGGAATAAACAACAATTTTCCCATACTTACCAATGGTTAATGAATATTTTTACAATCAAAGTTAGTCCCTGGTTTTTTTCTAAAAAGTTTCTTTTTTGTTATAATCTTTAAAGGTGATAATAACAGAGTATAGCCATCGATGGGGGTCACGTGGTCTGAAGACAAGCTCAGATATCAGAATAATAGCTATAACTGTGCACAAGAACGATACGTGGTGCCTCGATATGAAACCAGACAACTTTTGTGTTTTTAATCTCCAAATACTAAAAAAAAATCAATTAAGCTAATAAATAGGCCAACGTTAAGAACGTATTATATCGTTTGTTTTATATTAATTATTATTAAAGGTCATAATAATAAACAAGTCGCATTTCGATGTACTCCATGCTATGACCTTTATTTAAAAATAGCAATTTTTACGAGATTACAAATTGTATCGCATTGTTTGGTTCCTTTGCCTCGCTTTCAATAATTAGAACAGGCGATTGTGCAGACGTTTGAAACCTGTGATCTATAAATGCCGTTTTTGTGGTAAAACAGAATATGTCATGTCATGTTTCTATGAGCTGTTCACAATGTTTTTATTGTGAAATTTAGACCTCATACGAATAGCATTTCTCATCAAGGGAAGTTTAGTGGTATAAAAAAGGAATACGCAAAAGGAACATTTCCTACATGCAGTATGTAGTAAAGTCAACACACTATTAAATGAATAATCAGCAGATAGATTCATTATATTCATACGGTCTATGCATCAAGAAAAGACGGATAGAAATTTGTTTTATCTTTTATTAATTACAAAATGTCCATACAAAATTTCAGTGTTTTCTCAAAAATTCGTTTTCTCATGACAAATATTGGATCCGCTGGTCCGCACGAAATTCATGAAAATATTATAACCTGTTTACAAATATGAGTTGTGGATAAATTTTTGCAGTTCGTATTGTCTAAATGCTTTTTTTTTTTTTTTTTTTACATTTAAAGGGGGTATTATTTGAATTCAACATATTTACACGAGACACAAAAAAATAACACATTTGATAAAACAGACATTTAATTACTTTGTGTCCTTTTTTAAAAATTGTTAACTTTACCATTGTATTTGTAATGTTTATCAACATACTTCCATAACCTGCATGAATCTCTGTTCGAGACAGTTATCTTGTTTAGTCATGAAAATTAGGTTCAAGTAAAGAATGACTGGTGAGCCCCCCCCCCCCCAAAAAAAAAAAATAAAAATAAAATGAATACAAATTCACGCCAGGTATTTTTAACTCGTATTTAAGCTTAAGTTATGTGTTTATACTTACTTAAATTAAATAAGTACACTGTACTATTGGTCGTTTAGCGTTTATTGGTCCAACTTGACAATGATCGCTATCTGAAACAGAAGAGTAAATTACATAAGTCTACATAAATAATAATCCTATATCTCCCCCCAAGTCTTTAGGTTTACTGATAACCAAAGTCATTAGAAAGACTGAAATGTTTCAATGATCCATGAGAGGTCACTAGTGTGTGAAAACAAGTAAACTACAAAGTAATAGGAGTAACAGTTAAATTGAATATGCAAACGATAACAGGAACAACAAACATTGGTGTGCAACTACACAGGAGTTCAAATGTTTTATGACAGTTCATAGTCTTTTTGCCAAATAAAATAATAAATCATGTAGCAGAAAACTATTCCTGCCTGTCTCAGTTGACTTATTGGTGAAAAAGTAACTCTACGAACAAGTGTATAACCACCGACTGGTTATTACAATATAATATGATAGGATCCTGTCCAATGCAGATTTGAATATAAAGAAAATCAAGTAGGACCTACCGTAGTAAAATGCAAATCTGACACAACAATAGCGTGTAATAAGAGAGCTTATTACACTGTACATATTTAAGGTGTCATAAATGTTGCTTTCACCGGTCTGCTTTACTTCCTAGCCGTAGAGACACCGGGGTTCATGTAAACTAATACAATTTACCTGTGAAGTAGCAACTTGGCGACGAGAATCTTTGAGCTTCATAGAAGGAGGTATTAAGATGCAATCCGTAATTCTTTTCTAATAATAATAATAATAATTTGTTTGCTAGAATCGCAACCCAAAGGTTGAAGTTTTACAATTTATCATTATAAAATCATACGTGTATTTAAAAGTAACTAAAAAATTATAAACTAAAAGACTAAAGCTTTAAAACAAGACTTATAAGACAATTTGGAGCAGTATTTTACATGAAATTTAAAAGACTGTGCATTATGAAGGATGATTTAAAACGCTCCGTTTTCACTCTTGGTATTAAAAATGTGTTGCTGACCTTGAGATTTCTTGGATTCCTCGGGGATCAGTAAAAGCGTGCCACGTCCCCTACTCCATAATATAGTGGATTTGATATCCGCGGTGAGCATGCGCTACCATTTGATTCATATTTTCCTTTCCTTAGAGGCGGTCTCGCCTTAATAGGCTACAACAGAAACAATGCAGGCACCTACGAATGGACCGATGGAACTGCAGATGATTTTAATGTATGGGAAACAGAACAGCCAAAACTAGGAATGGATTGTGCCGTGCAACGCTTCGATACATTTGAGTGGAAGTCCGCTCCGTGTGAACTCCCATTTCGATTCTTCTGCAGAGCTTTATGGATAGGTAACGTAATTTGAGACATGGCCGTCTTATTGCTATTTACACACGGCATAATAATCGTATAGTTATGTCGATATTACTCTCTTTTGTTGGATGTGCTGAACGAGAACCTAACTTTACTATTTTTCTATGATATATCGCGTCAATGTAGACAAGAAAAACCAATAGAAAATGAATGATTTTAGAGTTGATCTGAATTGAAAATGGATATCAACATATTGCATTTTATTATTTCCTTTTACTCAATACACATAAAAAAAACAATTGTAGCTCCTGCGGGTCCACCAGGGACGAACGGACCACCGGGAACCAGTGGACCCCCGGGAACTGGGGGTGGTCCAGGGACTGGGGGTCCACCTAGCACTTCTGGTCCACCAGGCTCAGGCGGGCCTCCTAGCACAGAAGGTCCTCCTGGAACAAATGGTCCACCAGGAACAGGCGGTCCTCCTGCATCCAGTGGTCCTCCGGGATCTGGTGGCCCTCCAGCAACAGTTGGACTACCAGGAACCATGGGACCACCAGGAAGTAGTGGGCCACCAGGAACTGGAGCACCACCTGGGACCAGTGGGCCACTAGGAAACAATGGACCCCCCGGAACTGAAGGACCACCAGGGACAGGAGGTCCACCAGGATCGAATGGACCTCCAGGAACTGAAGGGCCTTCAGGTACAGGAGGGCCTCCTGGCACGCAAGGATCATCAGGAACGGGAGGACCCCCAGGGACAGCGGGGCCACCTGGGTCAGAGGGGCAACCAGGTACATCAGGACCTGTTGGCCGCGATGGCCCCCCAGGCACTAGTGGTCCTAACGGTGAAGCAGGGCCAATAGGAACTGATGGGCCACCCGGACTAAAGGGTGGTACTGGAACTACTGGACCACAGGGAACTGGAGGTCCACCTGGAACCCGCGGACCTCATGGCACAAATGGTCCACCCGGAAGTAGTGGCCCTCCAGGGACAGGTGGACCAAAAGGCATCAGTGGGCCACCAGGAACATTTGGTCCCCAAGGAGCAGCAGGACCACCAGGCACAGGTGGACTCCCAGGACTAATTGGACCCATGGGGACTGTTGGTGCTGCTGGAACAGCTGGTCCACCAGGGTTAATAGGGCCTCCTGGACCAACCGGGACGGGAGGACCACCAGGTACAGCGGGACCAAAAGGTAAGAGGAAATGTTTTCTTTTATAACAATGCAATGGTTTAAGTGTGTGCAGATATTTTAGTCCCATAACCTAATTAATCTCACTATTTATTGGCAGAGGATATATTGTTGTACAGTTATCAGGAATGCGTGACAATGAGCACTCTTTTGTGAATTTCAAATCTCTACATTAAAAATACAGTACTTAAATTATGTTTTCAAGTTTATCACCATATATCTGTGTAGATTTTAAATATTATCTTTAATCACAGGACTTCCGGGAAACCAAGGGCCACCAGGTGACTCAGTGAAGAGCATAAAGGGTATGAAGGGCATGGCAGGGNAAAATGTGTTGCTGACCCTGAGATTTCTTGGATTCCTCGGGGATCAGTAAAAGCGTGCCACGTCCCCTACTCCATAATATAGTGGATTTGATATCCGCGGTGAGCATGCGCTACCATTTGATTCATATTTTCCTTTCCTTAGAGGCGGTCTCGCCTTAATAGGCTACAACAGAAACAATGCAGGCACCTACGAATGGACCGATGGAACTGCAGATGATTTTAATGTATGGGAAACAGAACAGCCAAAACTAGGAATGGATTGTGCCGTGCAACGTTTCGATACATTTGAGTGGAAGTCCGCTCCGTGTGAACTCCCATTTCGATTCTTCTGCAGAGCTTTATGGATAGGTAACGTAATTTGAGACATGGCCGTCTTATTGCTATTTACACACGGCATAATAATCGTATAGTTATGTCGATATTACTCTCTTTTGTTGGATGTGCTGAACGAGAACCTAACTTTACTATTTTTCTATGATATATCGCGTCAATGTAGACAAGAAAAACCAATAGAAAATGAATGATTTTAGAGTTGATCTGAATTGAAAATGGATATCAACATATTGCATTTTATTATTTCCTTTTACTCAATACACGCAAAAAAACAATTGTAGCTCCTGCGGGTCCACCAGGGACGAACGGACCACCGGGAACCAGTGGACCCCCGGGAACTGGGGGTGGTCCAGGGACTGGGGGTCCACCTAGCACTTCTGGTCCACCAGGCTCAGGCGGGCCTCCTAGCACAGAAGGTCCTCCTGGAACAAATGGTCCACCAGGAACAGGCGGTCCTCCTGCATCCAGTGGTCCTCCGGGATCTGGTGGCCCTCCAGCAACAGTTGGACTACCAGGAACCATGGGACCACCGGGAAGTAGTGGGCCACCAGGAACTGGAGCACCACCTGGGACCAGTGGGCCACTAGGAAACAATGGACCCCCCGGAACTGAAGGACCACCAGGGACAGGAGGTCCACCAGGATCGAATGGACCTCCAGGAACTGAAGGGCCTTCAGGTACAGGAGGGCCTCCTGGCACGCAAGGATCATCAGAAACGGGAGGACCCCCAGGGACAGCGGGGCCACCTGGGTCAGAGGGGCAACCAGGTACATCAGGTCCTGTTGGCCGCGATGGCCCCCCAGGCACTAGTGGTCCTAACGGTGAAGCAGGACCAATAGGAACTGATGGGCCACCCGGACTAAAGGGTGTTACTGGAACTACTGGACCACAGGGAACTGGAGGTCCACCTGGAACCCGCGGACCTCATGGCACAAATGGTCCACCCGGAAGTAGTGGCCCTCCAGGAACAGGTGGACCAAAAGGCATCAGTGGGCCACCAGGAACATTTGGTCCCCAAGGAGCAGCAGGAGCCCCAGGCACAGGAGGACCCCCAGGACTAATTGGACCCATGGGGACTGTTGGTGCTGCTGGAACAGCTGGTCCACCAGGGTTAATAGGGCCTCCTGGACCAACCGGAACGGGAGGACCACCAGGAACAGCGGGACCAAAAGGTAAGAGGAAATGTTTTCTTTTATAACAATATGCATTGGTTTAAGTGTGTGCAGATATTTTAGTCCCATAACCTAATTAATCTCACTATTTATTGGCAGAGGATATATTGTTGTACAATTAACAGGAATGCGTGACAATGAGCACTCTTTTGTGAATTTCAAATCTCTACAGTACATTAATTATGTTTTCAAGTTTATCACCATATATCTGTGTAGATTTTAAATATTATCTTTAATCACAGGACTTCCGGGAAACCAAGGGCCACCAGGTGACTCAGTGAAGAGCATAAAGGGTATGAAGGGCATGGCAGGGGCTCCAGGTCAGCAAGGACTTCCAGGGTCTGTTGGACATCCGGGAGAGAAGGGAATGCAGGGGGCTAAAGGCTTATCGTTCTTTGGAATGAAAGGAGAAAAGGGAATGTCTGACAGATTTTTTGTGGTACTGCGTGGACGGACATTATCTCCAACTACAAGACGGTTTGCACGAACATTACCTCCAACTTCAACGCGCTTTGAAAGTCCTACTACTCCACTGGCTTCACCAGTTATGACGACCAGTGCATCCCTGTTCCTTAGAGGTACGAGTATAGCACACATCCGAATTGCTTTGACGCCATTTATAACAGGAAAAAAAACAAGACTTGTTGACTCCATTCTCTGTGGACTAATTGTTTGTGAAACTCTCTTTAGATAAATAGGACAACATAAATTACGCACTCGGTTAATCTTGTTAAGCGGTCGTAGATCCCCTTAAGCCTAGGATAGAAGTCGTTTTGTAAAACAGTTAAAAAAACTACATGCATGAATTTATTTGAATAGAAAAACTTTTGAAGCAAGTTAGCTAACAACAGATAACCGATAAAGATTATTTTATTCTAACGCATCTCAAAATGGGTTGTAAAAATATCTGATGGTTTTTATTAAGTCTCTTTTTTACCTTCAAGGTGACAAGCAGAATGGTACCCCAAGACGTGACAACAGCAAAGAAGACTTCGACATTCTGCAACAATTGAAGGACGCTGTGGTACATGAAATTGTACTAGGAGTAATCATAGGAACGGTTTTCCTAGGGACCATCTACCTCTATGTAGCCTATTTTAAGCAAGTGGCGTATGAAAAACGTGAAATTGAAAAAATAAGAAGGAAATTGGATGGGATGAAGCCTTAAGAGGAAACTTTATTCAAATGCCCATATTAATCATATGTATGTAGAACCTGGGGCGGAAATTTTTAAATGTTGGAATATTCATTCTATGACATATATGTCTGCTTGGTTATGGTTACAAAAATAAAACCAAATAGATTAACTATTTAAATACCAATATCATGAAATTGTTTTACATAAGCCATACCCACTACACAAGCCTGCGGCACGAGTATCCTATATGAGGTTTGTGTCTCAGCTATAAGTGACTAGCATGTGCAATTAAGGCGACCAAAGACACAGCTGAATAAGTCTCTATAATTTTAAATTGACTATATACACAGAATGTGCAAATGAACTGTATCTTTCACCAGATTATTGGCAGGCAGGTAACAAAAAATAATGTCAAGGGTTCATTTGGAATATTGCTATTAATTCTTGTCTTTGTCTCGCTTAATGACGACAATATAAAAAATGAATTAATGCATTTTAGATTTTAATTTGAATATAGACTTCGTGTTGAAATCACATAATTGGTAGGATACAAGGTAAAAAAGGAGCCGTTTTCCTGTTTTCACATAAGGTGATCATTTTTTTAAAGATTAGTATAAAATGTGAATATAAGGAGCTATTATAGAGGTTAGGGAACTCATCTCAATAACGCACAGCTATAGCCCTATAATATATCTAAACGTTTAAACCCATTTTTGTCCAATTCGATAAAGCAAAATTTTGTCTGAAATAGCAGCCCTGCCTCTCATGTTAAATAACCGACGTTCCTGCAGGGGCACAGTAATTAAATTTCGGCTCCATTCGACCAGACGCGTGGGGAGGCGTGTGAGAGGCGAAGAGACCATTACAGGATTAAGCGGTCTTCCTATCGTGTTGGGTCCGCCATATTTGAGCCCTAGAGCAGTTGATACTCGGATCTTCTAAGTGACCACATGGTTTTACTCCACCATTTTCGTCTCTTCTGCAAACTTCCCATTATTCAACTGAGCTGGTCTGTCTCCTCTAACACAATCTCGGCACAATCATAGCTTGTACATTTACCTCTGCGCTTTACATAATTTTATCGATGGTTACATTTCGGTTTTCGAATCAAAACTAGGTATTTCGATCATTTTAAATTTCTTTGAGACCAATTGTAACAGGAAATTAGGACGTTGTAGGCCAATGAAAATTGTATTTTCNTCTTCTGAGATATGCCGACTTGGAGAGAAATATCTACAAAATTTTCTACTTGAACGTTCGGTGCTATAAAAGTAGAAACCTTACGAGGTTGTATTGACTTTTATTTAAACTATTCATAGAATAGCGCGATCACCGACCCCCTACAAATAATGATAATATATGTCATTTACATCAAATGACAATGCTAAGTTTTAGCGGGACACCTACAAAAATTCGGACAGTGGTACAATGTATAAGAACCTGCATGGAATGCTACATTTGATAACTTCATATAATAAGTTTAAAAGTAGCAAGGTTGTATAAAACACGCCATTCACTGTGCCCCATGTTATCTCTTCGTCTTCTTCAAGACTCATTTAATCGACAAATAAGTCACATAATAAGCGAACCCCGCCCCTTACCGCACTACAGAATCTCGTCTATTTACCACATAGTTCTCGTGTTGTGAAAACGTAATCGTGGGTGTTATTGGCATCTAGGAATGGCTTGCCTTGACAAACAGTTTGTGTCGCCCTGTTGATGGTGACGCGTGCTGACATTATAAACCGAGGTCAAATTCATATTTTTAAGGTCACGCAGGTCACGGCTTTAAAGAGACTACCACATAACTGGCGGCGTATTTTGAAGAGAAAAGAGCTTTTTGTTATAACTGGAGTATTTTTATGGAGGGACTTGTTGTCATTGCCAAAAGTGAAGACTCTCTATTCTTAATTTCATAATAAGCTACGTCAAGGCCCAAAACAGTGCCAATTTAAGTCCTGTGCATGTTTAGAAAAGAAAAAATTGTTGAAATGGTTTTTCTTTTAAGAAAATAGAGCTGCTTATACTGCTAAAATGTCTGTACAATGACACTTTTGTGCGACATTTTATCATTACTTCCCATTTTGTTTTCAGGTTATAGAAAAACAGTCCAAGACACTTGTATATTTTCTTTCTGGTGTTTAACTTGTTTGTTTTCATTTTATGTCCCGTTGTGTTGTGATCAAAGACTATTTTCACAAAATCTGTTTCAACTGACCAAAGTGAGAGGTTGAAATGATGAATCGAAATCTTAAAGAAAAGAAAATAGTTTGCAAAATTGATTTCTATCCTGATGGTATTACGACCTCCGTAAAACAAACTTAGTTCCCATTGTCCTCTCTCTATATTTTTCAACAACAAAACATAAAAAGTGCCATGGGATATATTCATCAAAATAAAAATGATCCGAATTCAAACAAACCCGCCAAACAAGGTATGTGTATCCAGCTGGGCATATTTAACCCCGGTTTACTAAGATTGCCATAGCAACACACTATAAACAAAACCTGCATGCAACAAACTCTGTCGATCTCCTGTGACCTATCTAGAGGTCGAGTCTTGTCACAGGCGCTACATGTAGCTCGAGATCCGACTTCGCGCAGTACACCAAAGGGGTCATTGAGTGCATTTAACGCACTGTTGCGTCATAAAGGGGACGTTTTTCTGTGGACGGCATGCCTTGGCTTTGGCGTTAATTGTTTCGAGCGAGTCACGCCGGGTTGTAATAACATCCAGTGGATACCTGCTGATGTGTCTGCTGATGTGTGACGCGCCGATGACCGGCTGAATCCATTGATACTACACTTAATATCAGACACGCGCATGTTCCTGCATGGCTACCTGTACTGCAGTTACAGTTCTGAGACCACAGTTGTTGCGTGATGTGATGTGATATGATCGGGGAAATATTAAAGCTTAAATGCGTATTAAATATCAGTTGTTTCGCATGCCATATGGTAATTGTACGGAAATCTTGGGACTGGCATCGAATGACACTATCTAGCATGGCTTGGTCTTTACGTCGCACGACTTAAGAACACTATAGGATTCTATGGACTTAGGTGTATTTACAGCACTCGTGAGCGACCGTGGGTTCAGACGTGAAATGTGATGCGTGTCATATAAGAGGAATTAATCAAGGGGTAAGAAATTTCGTGCATGAAATGAAAGGATGAAAAGTGTCATGTTCTGGAGAGTTCATCCAACACATCTAATTGGCAATTTTGGTGACAAGCTTACCGGTTAAAAAGTGAGCCAACCCTGTGAGGTAATTCCTGTTTTACGGACTGTAGAATAGGGATAAACAGATTTTATCAATAACAGTTTGCCTGTAAGGTGAAAACGACGAGGGAAATTTATACTTAAGACGGTGAGCAGAAAATCAAGAACGACCGGAATTATTGGCATTGAGCATAAACTATTTCATAAAAGGGGAAAAATATAAAAGCATATGAAATCAATGAACTAAAATGTCTTAAGATAAAAGATAAAAGCTAATAGTGACAAGCACATTTTACATCTCCCCCAGCGGATACCAAGCCAGGGGGGGGGTCACACGCGCTGAACACAGACCACAAGACAACGGTTTCAAACGCGAGAGAAGGGCTTTATCCAGTCGCCTTGTAATTCTCGGAGAATATAAAAAAGAAGAAAATTTTGAAATAGTCCAGAGAAAAAAGTACAAGAAAGTACAACAAAGTACAAAAAAGGTAAGTCAGTGCACCAGCACTCTTTTATTGTTATGACATACATCATGAGCTTATGGCATCTTGGCTCCTGGTGAAAGGTTTATCAGGTCACGTGTTATCATCCGCTGTATGTTTCATGCACTAAGATGCAGTAAGGTGTTCGCTTCAAAAGGATAAAAAAAAGCAAAACAACATATTGGAAGGAGTACCGTAGATTGTCTACACGGGGGAAGGGGGGGGATGGAGAGTGGAAAGAGGT